ATATATATATATATATATATATATATATATATATATGGATATGGTGCAGATTTGGCTGTGATAATAGTGCATTACTATGATTTCCTTGGCTGTGATAATAGAGGGTTTCACTCCTCTCAAATTCCTTGCATCCAGACCCTTGGCTTTCAGAAGTGCTACCAATCTGTCATGGTGGAAGCGAATTCTTTACCACTGTAAGTAATTTTAACATCACGAACTAGGTTAAAAGGCTAGGCTTCTAGTTTCAGATATAAATGGTGTATGTTCTATCCAAATATATGTTTACAGTTACTTGAGACCTCTCAGTTATGATACAGTAAAAAGTGTTCTAAAAATTTGTTACACGATTGTTTAAAATATACTGAAAGGTATACTTGTAGAACCACTGGACCCTGAAAAACAAATGAAGGCGAATCTGGGAAAGATAGGGGAGAATCCCAAGTCTGATAAAGCGGAATACATTTATGAAATACATTTAATTTTCACAATCGATTACATAAGGATCTATTATAGAAATACAATATCTAATTTTCACATTTGTCCCAAACATATCCTAAATAAACAAAATAGCTTGTCATTTTTCCATTTCCATCAAACAACGCAACGACAAACCTCGTTAACCCTAGACCTAAATCCCCAGATCAGCACGTGCGAAACTCAGGAACACACAAACCAAAACAGAAGATTCCAGAGATTCAAAGAATACGGTCTTAATTAATGTGCTACAAGAACCAATAGAGATAAAAAAACGTGACCTCTTTTGCGGACAATTGGGAAGCGTAGGGGAGGACGAAGTTGACTGTGAGTTTGGAAGGGAGGGTCGAGGGAATCGGCGGCCGCTCCTTCAAGAACGAGAGCGGCGTCTTCGGAGGATCCAGATTCGGGCTCACTTTCTTCCACGCCTCCACGAAGCTCGATTCCGCCGAGGGCGTTGCCGGTACGTCGGTGGAGAAGCGCCGGCGGGAGGCTCCGGAGAGGAGGGCGGAGGTTGCGCGGCGGAGCATCGCGATATTAGAGTCGGATCGCTCGGTCTCGCTAGGTCGGAGAGAGAGAGAGAGAGTGAAGGAGAGTGTAGAGAGAGAAAGAGAGTGAGAAGGGTGAAATTTGAAGAGAAAAATGGGTTAACCTTTGTTTGGACTTTGGAGCAAGTATTGCGCTTAGGAGTTTCGGGTTTCCTGTGACATCGGGCTTAAACACAGCCCAATGAATTTTGCTTCCTGCACTCTTTGATATACTAAGCACCCCATTATTACTAACTCCACTCCCATAATACTAAAACAAGAATAAAATATGGTTCCCGACTTCGTTAAGTCACTATAAAAACAAGAAATACACATAAAAGTTTATATATACAAGATACTTACATTGATAAGAAATATTTTAAAAAATATGAAGAAATTGTAGGAGTGCAGAAAATAAGAACCCTAAATAAATATTTAATATTATTTTTTAATTAAAAAATATATTTAATATTTCCATATTTTAATGAGAAGAAAGAACACTATAATCATTTAATTTGAAGATTGTGAATTTGAAGTAAAGTTATGTTTATAGGGTCCACAATGTAATAAGAACACATCATAACCAATCCTACTACTAAATTCCATTTAACAGTTTCATTCATCTCAAACTTACTACTTTAAAGAAGACCTAATTTCTTCATTTTGTATCTGTGTAGCCATTTCATATTTCTAGGGAGTTGATAACTCCATATCAATGCACATTTCCTCAGCTTCATCAAAGGGTAACCTATTCTCCAATTCCATTTCTCCTCCACAATCAGAAAACAGTGATCCCTTCACCTGACCCTGAGCATTGCATGTTGCAACTTCCTCATCTGCACCATCATCATCATCACATGGAATATCATCAAATATGCTCAAAACATCCCCATGTTTATGTAATCCAGAATAGTCCTGGTAACAGTCATGATTCTCCTCCATAAGATAATTCTTCACATGCACATCATATTCCTCCTTCATGTGGCCATGTTCTTGAGCAATTTTCCTGTGAAAACTGGTCCAATCAGGGTGACTCCAAAGGTAGAGAGGTGGTGGCTTCAAGTTCCAGTCTTCCAATTGCTTGTCTCGTACATCAACAGAACCAGGAAGATAAAATGACTGTAAGAATGAACATAATGCAGAAGATAAGCTAATTTACATGTCCCTTGTTTTGGTTATATACAGTATACCATAAAGGATCGGCTCAAGGCTCCAAGCTAGTAAGAAAAAAAGCCTCAATTTGTTTTTAATACTAATTGCTTTAGGCCTAAAAAAAAAAACTCGAAATGTAAATTTTAAATAAAATTATGATAAAAATGCTTCATTTCTTGAGTTGTCCCTGATTACACAGTGTTGGGGTTGAAATATCTGAACTTTTGCTAACTCACCTTTCCTGTAAACATCTCATCACTCTCCCAAATTAAATCATATCCACCTTTCCTTTTGTCAAGTCTGGAAACATAGTAGATATCTGAGTATTGTTCTTATTGCATGAAAGAAAAAGGGTATGAAATGAAACAAACACTGACCTTTTAGTTACTTTTGGTACAATTAGAATAAGAAGTTTTGGATTGAAAGTCAATGCTTTGTTAATAAATTTGTTAGCAAGACAACCCTTCACCCCAAAAGGAGGATTCAGCCCTATGATCTGGTAAAATATCAACAGGTGAAAGGAAAAAATAGTAATGAAGATATTAAACATGGAAGTATTCATGAATTATGAAGTAGAAGTTTTTTAGATTCTTACAAGTTTAGAACCGTTGGGTAATTCTTCTGCATTGACACTCATCCAATCTCTCTTTTCAAAGTTGAAATCATTCTACAAGCAGCAGGATTTCATTAGCAATAAAAGGCATTTGCAACAGGGAAAAGGAAGAAACAAATCTTTATTACATTGCAGTTTTAAATTTGAAGCAGGAGGAAAATAAAAACTGAAGAAAAAGCTATGCCATGCATGCCTTCATTTGAGCCACATAAAGACTTACCTTGGGTTGGAATAAATCATAGTTCTTGAATGAACATGACTTCCCCATCTGTTCAAGCTTTGATTTCATTAGACAACTGAAGTCATTAGAACCACAACAGAAGTCCAAAACCTGGCAAGGATTACACATAACCATGGATTGAGAAAGTTAGTCAACACAACGGCTAAATCCAGTAGAAACTGTCAGCAGTTATCATTCATTCATGAATTTTTCATCTCTGAAATTTTATCTGCTTGAGAAGTTCCATAAAAATTGAATGCTAGAAAATTTTGATTCCCATAATTTGTTCCAAAAACATAGGAAGTTACATGGCCTGATATATTCACATTACCCACCAGAAAGGATCCAATTAATTTATATATGCTTCAGACAGCATCATGATCAGCAACATAGCATCAGTAATAGTATGCAACAACGTATATGCAAATCTCAGCAAAAGTTTCTCTTGATGGACTAAAGCCTGACTATTGAATGTGCTTGTCAAGACTATTTATTCCTGTCAAATTGCTAATTTCATGAAATATTGTCTATCATCTATTCATGTATTGTAAATTACTCATTGCCAGAAAACTGTCACCTCCCTGTTTTTCTTCAAATGTTTGCAAATCCTCATACTTGCAGTAGGACACATCAAACGCTCACAATACAAAAAGGAAGAACCTAGTATTTCTGAATTTCCACTAAATAGAGCATTCATCTCAGGAGAAAGAGCATAAGAAGATACATAAATGTGCAATAAATCACCTGTACTAATCTTATTGCCACATTCCAAATAAAATGAACACGCTAGAAAATAAAGGATTTGCAAGTAAACACACTCGAATAACTAAAAATCCAAAGCCCCCATTTGAATTGACAGAAAATAACAGGTTGTGGACTCCGATATCAACACATATTCCAAGATTGTGACATATACTTTAATTAATTAATATCGATAACACACTAACAAAAAAAAAATGAATATAAGGTATGTTAGGGCCATTGTGTTTAAAGTTAGTTTTTCTTTTTGTTTTTTAAAAACTGATGTTAGGGATCACTATGTACTACATCTCAAAACACACCAATCATTAGCTTGTTAGTTGGAATATTTGGTCGGTTAAAGTAGTAGACGTGGAAAATTAACTTGTTGAAAATAACCTTAAATATCTGTTGTTTGAAAATGGATAATTTAGTTTTTAGGAATTTATTAACTGTCTTAAATATTTAGAATGCTTGTTTAGATACAGAACTTATTCTTATCATTTAGACTTTAGTTTTTGATTTTTATTTATTTTTTTGGTTGCATTTTAGATCAATACAGAGCACAAGAATAAAATTTTATGTGATCATATCCTCTTCAGTTAAAATTAATTTTTCTGTAAAATGAGGAAAATAAACATGGCTTTTACATTGTACAGTGTAGCATAGAGGACAATCTGTCTTGTACCTACAGGGAAGGGAAAAAGGAAAAATTAATTGTGAAGGTAGATCCTAGGGAGAGTTCCCTTTCTTCATTCTACCATTAAAAAATAAAATCTTTATTTTTTCTCTTATTTTCTATTCAAGGTTCCTGTCAAGGTATGTATAACCAAAATATAAAAAAGCATGAAGGACAATTACTTAACCACATACCGTGTCTCCATTCTGAACGTACCAATGAAGCCTATTAACAACCTGCACTTGGGAGTGTTCTTACATCAGCTTTACTAATTAGATCATTGAAAAGTAAAACAAAGGAAAGTTCAACATTTAAGTTGTTTGTAGCATTTTAATTCACAAAATCATTACTTACAATTAGTTATCCCTGACACTAAAACAGCCTAGTTCAGAATTTAGGCATATAATTTAGTGATTTGTTATTTAGATACAAGTGAAGTTCTCATAGTTGTTTTCAAAAAGATGAGCAATAACATTCTTATACTTTATAAAGTGAAATTTAAGTCAAACTTAATTTCACAAAACTGATTTGTAAGGTGAGATTTGTTTGGAAAATGACACTCAATTTTACTTTTCTGAATATACCATTGTGTGTTTTCATTCTACGTAGACCTTACAATTTAAAGGACAAACATTTGGCCTTTCATCTCCATGCCATAATGTCTCCAATTATTACAAAACACAGCAATATAATGACCATAAATGTAAAAACACAACATGCTAACTTCCTGACTCTTGCTCTCCTACTACATTAAACACTACCACTCACAATAACTCCTAAATTTAAGTTTATTCCAACAAGATCTTATATACTATACTCCAACATTATACAATAACTATATGGTAGTATTGGCTAATCTGTAACCCTTATAGGTTAGTTTAAATGTGGAAAACAACAAAACAAGTCCAGACACAAGACAAGAAATGGGATGAAATGTGCACATGCACAAGCACACACAAACTAATATAATAGTTAATGAGGAATTTCCTTCATAACTAAAGGAAAAGAACCAAACAGATGCCATAAATGTTCTCCTTTTTGGCAACTTATACTTCAAAAGAATCTAATAATGTATTTACCTCCTTCAGTTTGTCTATTTTAGTGAAATGGCGACCAAAGGAAGTATATCGCATGCCGTGAAGAAAAGGTGCAAGGTAGACCTTGAGCTGCTTCTGCAAGTGAATTAATACTCAGAAAAATTGACTCAATATATTTCATGTTTCCTTCAAATAACAGTCATTCAGATATAGATATGTTTTTCCACGATAGCAGAAGTTTTTATAAAACACAACACAAACCAATACAAGTATAAGCAAACTCAGTATTGCATTGCCACTAAACAGTGTTTGCATCAGTTGCAAGTGCAGAGCAAATGACACGAATATTGATTAAATTTTAGGGAAAGGGTTAAGACACATGAATGTTTTGATATAACATCTTGAACAACAATGTTGAAAAGGTATTTCAACCTGCCAAATGAAAAGCTGATGGAGCACCCCTGGGTCACAAATAGCTTTTGCTTCTTCAATACTACATCCTTCTTCTAAACTCTGCAAAGCTGTTTGAACAGCCTGCAAGAAATCCAGAGATCCTTTAACTAGAACACTAATAATTAATTAATATGCCACTTTATCTTAATATGCTCAGATTCTATTTAACATCAATACTGAATGCTACATTCAAGAGGGAAAAATAAGATAAACCTTAATTGACCCTTCTAC